ACACACACACACACACACACACACACACACACTGGGGCCCAGCTGGGGTCTAGGGAAGTTGACCCAGGTGTCTCCTATTCCTGAAACAGACTATGGCCTCTAGGAACTCAGTCTCTGCCTGTGACACACCCGGTCTTTGCACCAAGGTGGGCCCAGGCTTGCCCCACCAAGACACAGTCTCTGGCCAGTCTTGCAAGTCCAGGGCAGGGATGGCAGCCACCATGCCCACCTCAAGATGCTGCAGAGATGCACCCCATCCTAACCCTCTGTGTCTGTGCCCAGTCCCCTGCTGGGGGTAGAGGACAAAAGTGGTCCTCAGGCAGGGAGAGGAAGCCAGGCTGGGCAGAGGGCTCCAGGAGGCGGGAGAGAGCAGGCAGCTGACTTCCTCAGGGAGGCAGCTACAGGTGTAGCCATCCAAGCCCCGCACCCACCCTCCTACCACACCACAGATCCAAGGATAAAGTTCCTAGGAATCTCATGATGGCAACCACACTGGCATCAGCCCCAAGCGAGGGCCCTTCTCACTGCTCACTGCTCATCTGGGGTCCTGGGATGGAGGGGGAAGTGAGGGGCTGAGTGAGCACATGACAGCCTCCTGAAGGAACAGTTCCCAGAGAGCACTGGGAAAAGCAATCACTGTTATTTTTTATTGCAAGTTACAAAAACACCACCCTTAACTTCTAAATTCATGAGTAGTCACATAAATGGAATGCCACTACACACATTTTCTGCGATTTGACTCAGGAACGTTAATGCATGGGCTTCAAGACTCCACACATCCTGACCCTGGCCCTCTCCCACCACTGTCCCTTCAGCCCTCTCCTGACACCTCTCTGCAGTTCAAACAGATTCCCAGGTGACTGTTAACTGCTGCCGGGGGAACTCACTCTGAGACCACTGTTTAGGTCCCTGGCAGTGTGGCCCTGTGTTGGCTCCAGGGTTTTTCCCTGCAGCAGGTACAGGATGGACTTGCCCTGGAGGGCTGCCTCCTGCTGCTCTGGGGAGCGGAGGGCACAGAAGAAAGTCATCCCCCCCCCCCTCACCACCACACACACAGACACACTAGGGATTCTTCCTTAGCTTTACCTAATTGAGAATAGTGAGAGTGTCACCTGCCAATCAGAGTGTTTGGGGAAGTCCCACCTCACAGAACCCCTACAGAGCAGTGAACAAGTGTCCTGTATCCCCACCCCAAACTGTCCCACCCACGGGGCACCACATCCTGCTCACAGCTCACTCCCATAGGAGCTGGGAGCTCCCAGTCAGAGGGGGGCAAAGGGTCGCTCCAGGAGGTGGGTGTCACCAGGAGGTGTTAGGATCTCCCAACACTTGTACCCTCCCAAATCTAATCAGTGTTTTCTACTTTTTCTAATCTGATGCGTGAAAAACAGAATCACATTGTTTTACTTTGCACTTTTTCATCAGGACAACTTGTATTTCTTCTGTGTTTTTTCTCTTCCTATCCTCTGGTGGCTTTTCTAGTGAATTGTCTTTTGGGATTTGGTACTATTAATCCTTCAAAGACGCTGCAAGCTTTTTTCTTTGCTATTACACTATTTGACTTTTGTCTTTGTGACCCACTAACCACATGGGCAGTTATATAGTAGCCTCTCTGAGCCTCAGTTTCCTCATCTGAGAGCTGGAAAAACACCAGCCACCTTGGTTGGCCAGGAGGACTAAACAAGAATGTGCAGTACTTAGTGGACCACATCACCAGCTCTCGACAAATGTGGCCATCACTGTAGTCTCTACATTACCCCCCCAAGTCCCCAACAATGTAGTGCACCAGGAAATTCAGCAGCAGGTCATGGGGAGGGCCAATCCCACGCCATCTGGGCTGAATCTACTTCACCTTGTGGGGCTTTCATTTAAATGTTTGCTAAAGTCAGAGCAGGATTCTGAAGTGCACAAAAAAGACTCTAACTTGACTGTCTCCCTCTGTCCTGACCCTCCATCAGCCGGACCCCGAGTACTGCAGCCTGCAGGAAGGCCTGCCCTATCTGGACATGGTAATTGCAGAGACCCTGAGGATGTACCCACCAGCTTTCAGGTACGTCCACAGCCCCCGCCCATCCCCTCTGGGCCTCTTGAGCATCACTCTTTGGGGTTGTCACTGGTCTTCAGTCTGCCGCCACCAGTGTTATCACAAGTGCTCCTGGAGGGCGGGATCTGAGTCCTGGGTTCGTTTGTATCCCCAGGGCACCAGAATAATGTTTGGCCCATTCTCCTGTGGTTTAACCACCTTCTCCAAGCATCACAGCCTTTTGTACCATAGCCTTCATCCCCAACCCAAGCCAACCTCTGGGCCGCCTGACCTGTGATGGAGTCTGCAGTCATCCTACCTTCATTCATCAATCCACTCATTTTTTCATTCAGCAACTGTTCATCAAGCATCTATTCTGTGTCAAGCACTAGGAAATCCACATGTGAACAAAACAGACCAAAGTGCTTGGTCCTGGAGCTGACATTCATCAGGGGACCACCCAAGGATGGGGATGTGCCTCTCAGGGTATCCAACAGTCCTTACTGCTCCCATCTTCAGAGCTCCTACACAAGATGGCAGCAGGCCTCACCTGTCCCCTGCCTCTCCTCCCAGCTGTTTAGCTGTAGCTATACTTCATATTACATTCTTAGACATGTTTCTACCACTCTGCAACTTGTCACCAGTACATAGACCGTCATCTCAGTCTGGAAGTGCCCAGAGAAAGAACCAAGTCTGCTTTTTTCAAACCATACCAAATGAGGCACCCCAGGAAGAAGGGCATCTTTACCCAGGTCCCTCAAAGGCAGTGCAACAGTGGCCAGATTTCAGTTTCTAGAAACAGAAGCAGCCCAAAGCCTTTAACAGTAGCTCATAAATTCCACTCAGCACTTGTAGTAATTGCCCTACAACCTAGACCATATGGAGATACCTTTTGACATCTTAAAAGAGAAGATGTGGGTGACTTGAGGGTGTCGCAAAATGATGTTTCAAACCAAAAACACGACAAAAGAGTGTGACTGCAGACAGTTTCAAAGATGGCCAGGTACAAAAGCAGCAGTGTGAGTTATGGGCCTCAGCAGGAAACAGGTCAGTAACTCAGAGACTTCCTCGTGGTTCTGTCATCAGCAGTAAGAACTGACTCTGCAGCCCTTCCTGGATTTTCTTGGTAGTATCAAGCAATCTGTCATCCAATTTTCTTTTTTTTCTTTTTCATGCTTTATATCCAGATTTCTTCCAAGGAGACTGTTGGCAGCTGGTACGCCATTAAAATGAGGCTCAAAACAAAACATACAGTGATGCAACAGAACAAGGCTCCCTCAGGGAAGGACTGCCTCACAGGGGCCCCAGAGATAGCTAATAACGGGGGACTTGGGGGGAAGCAGACCCTTGAGTGGTTGTGAAGGTTCATGGCAGAGAGGGAACTAGCTGAGCTAAACATTATTTCCTGACCTAAACCCAACCAAGAATTCATCCCATGAGGCCTTGTCTATGTGACACAATGAGGAATAGGCTCTAATATAAAACCAACACATGAATGCTGTGCCAGTCCTCAATCTGAGCATTGCTCTGGGGATCAGGGTTCCCATGGTCTTTCTTGAGGATGGGACAGGAAGTAGGGAATCTGGGTGAATGGGTTAAACGTCCCTCATAAGCCGACTCCATAATAACGGAGGGCAAGTCTGGTGGGAGGTCAGACAGCCTCAACCCTGCCTCTGACCTTGCTTGTAATGTTGGCTAAGCTTCGAGCTGCCTCTGGGCTTCTCTCTGCACGTGTGAAGTGGGGAGCCTGGAGGGGCAAGAGTGTGGAAGCTCAGCCCCCCAAGCAGCTTCAAAGTGAGGTTTGAGGGCAGGAGCCTGAGCTGCTGGGCTTTGCAGCCAACAGCTTGCGACTCAGCCCCAATGGGCACCAGTCTCCCAGCCTTGCTTGTCTGGGCACCCACTCCACATCAGCCCTCTCATCCACCAACAGATGTGAGAGAGACAAGGCATCCTGACTCTCACCCAGACATGAGGTGTGCCGTGTCTGGCATGCAGCGGACTCGGGGTGAATGTAGGGAGAGTAGCATTTCATTTCATTTCGTTAGTTTACTTTCTCTTAGGAAAACATATTGACTTCTCCCAAGCACTGACACAACTTATCCTTAAAAGAAACTCAGAACAACCTGTTCAGATAACATACCAATTCTCAGTTAAGTGTCTCTAATGCAAACCTGGCTCCCTGCAGGTTTGCAGCTTGGCAGGTTTTGCTGGCTTCTAATGAGGCCTCAGCTAGCTAGATAGGAGGCCCAGCTGGACGGAGGAGGGCAGGCCCTACTCGCTAACTTCCAGGGAGCTCTGCGTGCAGGTCCAAGCTGATTCTGATAAAGGTGGAATATCAGTGGTGCCCGGGCATGGCCTCTTCTGACCCCCTTAAACTGGGGTTGCAGACCTCACCCCCATACACCAACTGGGTTTGAGCACTGGTGTTTGCTGCCTGCTCTAGGCCCATGCACAACTCCTTGGTAGCTCAGGATCTGAACGGGATCCCCAGCCTGACCTCTTATGTTTCCTGACTGTTACAGGGAAGCTCAAAATTGAGAGATGAAATAGAGAGAAGAGCCTCACAGTTGCTCTAAATTCTTTTTATGAGTAGAAAAAATGAATCACTGTAATTTGGGTCATAACTGTATTTCTTTTGAGATATTTAGGGAAGCTTAGGCCTACAACTTGAAGTAAAAACCAGCATAGAACTGGGTGCCAGTGGCTCATGCCTGTAATCCTATCTACTTAGGAGGTTGAGATCGGGAGGATCAAGGTTTGAGGTCAGCCCAGGCAAATAGTACACCAGCCCCCATCTCCAAAATAACCAGAGAAAAATGGACTGGAGGTGTGGCTTAAGTGGCAGAGCACCTGCTTTGCAAGTGAGTTCAAACCCCAGTCCAACCAAAAAAAAAAAAAAAAGAAGCAGCATGGGATTATTCTTGATTTTAGAAGTAATTATTTATATTGCCAAAATAACTGCCAAAATAAAAACAAAAATAAACTCTAAACACTACAGAAGGACCCAAAGGAAAAGGGGCCCCCAGAATCCTGCTTTGATCCCATTCCCTTAAGGAGATAATGGTAGAAGTTTGGGTAATGTGTTAGTTTTCAGCACTGTGATAAAACACCTGAGAGAAATAAATTAAGGGAAGAAGGATTTATTTTGGTTCATGATTTCAGTCCATGGTTGGTGGGCGCCATTGCTTTTAGGCTGTGACAAGGCAGAAACAGCATGGTGGAGGGCATGGCAGAGGAAAGCTGATCACCTATGGCAGCCAGGAGAGAGAGAGAGAGAGAGAAGAGACACGATATATCATTCAAGGGCGTGCCCTCAGTGATCCACTTCCTCCATCTAGGCCCCACCTCCTAGTTCCCATCACCTCTCAATAATGCCATGAATGATGAATTCATCAATGTATTATCCAGTGATTAGGTCAGAGCCCTCCTGGCCCAGTCACTTCCCAGAGGCCTCTTCTTGGAACATTGCATCGGGCACCAAGCCTTCAGCACATGAGCCTTTTGAGGGGACACTTCATATCCAAACCATAGCAGGTATTCATCTAGCAATGATGAATATGTAGCTCAACCGCAACGTATGTCATTAGTTTGTCTACTCTTTAAAAACAGAACACAAACGAGAGTATTCCATCACCATAAGGTAAAATAAACCCTCGGGCCAATTTCTTCTACAGTAGAAACACTTGTCCACAAAGATGTAGACAGTGGGGACCAGATTTCAAATCCAAGTTTCCTTGAGGTTAAACCTCACCAGAACTTAGCAAGAGCTGTCACGTTCAAAGAGACAGAAAGTAGAATGGTGGTTGCTAAGGGCTGGGGTTGGGGAGAACCGAGAGTGGGTCATTAATGGAGACAGTTTCCATCAGGGAAGATGGGAAAGATCCAGTGGTGACAGATACACAACAATACGTGTACGTAATGCCACAGAACTGGACACTTTACAATTGTTTAAATAGTAAATTTTATGTATATTTTAGCACAAGTAATAAATAAATCCAACCTCACTGAAACCAATTCTAGGTTAGACTATTCCAGAATTAGCATAGTAGGTGATAGATGGCTTGAGTCAGACCCCTCAAGTCCTGGTTCAGGAATTTAAAGTGCAAATTTTCCATTCATTCCAGAAAAAAAGCAAGGGTGTGAGCCATGGGGAGGTGCACACACATCCCTCAGTTTCCGGTCATGTTGGGGAAACATGTCTTTTCTACACAGGGAAGGTGTCACTGAGGCTGAGCCTCGACATGGACTCAGCCCACGTGTCACTGTTGCTACTCAGCCCTGGTGTCACCTGAGATAGGGAACACCCGAGGAGATAAGGGTGCGGAGGTGGGGCTTTGTTTTCTACTGGGGGCCAGACTTGCTAAGGCAGCTAGTGTTGAGGCAGAAAGAAACTTCAATGTCACTCCATCGTCCTGGAAGTGGTCGGGGAGGAGGGTGGGACAGGCAAAGGGAGGGTGTAATAAAGAGAAGCTGCCCTAAAAAGCTTCATCTCACCCTTTAAAATTGCAAATGAACTAGAATTAGAACTCTTGGGAGTTGTACTAAACATTGAAAATGTAAATTCTCTATTTTTGTGTCCCAAATTGAAGAAACAGGAAGTTCTTCCACTCTCTACCTGTGATTTTTCTAGAAGGCTATTTCTGGCTCCAAAGTATGACCATGTATTTATTTAATAGGAACTCAGAAGGGGGAAGTCAGGCAAGGACATTTATAAGGCTTGGAGTCCAGACTCCAGAGGTTCAAGACCTGCCTACCTATTACGTCTGGGTCATAACAGTTCAGGGATTGGTGGCTACACGTAGGCAGGGGTCTTAAAGCAAGCAAGGGGTCAAGCAAGCAATCTATTGCCCTAACAGGAAAGCTATTTGCACAGATAACTTAGTTTGCTTTAATTACTGAAAGCAAACAGCAGAGTTATTTCTTGGTTTAGAGTCTTATCTTCCTGTGCAAGAATTTTTGGAAAGAGATAAGAAGTCACGTTGACTCAGGTGGTCTCCATGCTGGGCCCAAGGGTGGAGCTCTGTTGTTACAGACTTGTAGACTCCTTTTCCGGCCTTATTTCTGGTCCACAGCCCACAAGGCAAAGTCGACGACAGCTGGGCTGGGCTTTCGAGTCTCGAGGAGCAGCATGTGCTCCCGTGTTACTGAGTAGGGGGTGTTGGTTGTAAGAGGTCATGGTGGGATGGGATAGTAGAACTCTCTAGGAGTCCAGGTCAGCCATCACAAACAGGCTCAACGACACCAAGCTTAGAACTGGAAGGTGGCTTAGAAGCCATGACAGCTTCAGCAGTCAAACAAGGAATGTGATCTCACAGCCCTGGGAGCTGTGAACACCGGCCCCCAGCTCAGCCCGTGATGTAGCCTGGCCAGGCAAACGCCTCACCATGTGAGAGCAGCCCCCACGCCCTGACCTGCTCAAGGCCTTAGTCCCAAAGTGGATCCTAAGCTTCTTGTCTCTGTGCTTTTTAAAGCGCTTCCAGTCTTCCTGGCTTCGGATCCCCTGCTCCCTCCTAGTCACAGCTTCATTTCATGAAAGACAGGTAATGGCACAGAAGGGCCAAGTAAGTAAGTCACAGAGGGCACAGTGTCCATGGCATGGACCACCCAGTGTCTTTGGTTATTGTGAAATGGGGAATAGCCCAGCCACTTCACCTCCCCATCCACCTGGCCAATGGATGGACTGATGAGGGGATGGACAAGGGCATTTTCCCAAGAGCCAAGTACATTCAAGGACCAAGAGACTGCAGACTCTTGCAATAGGGGGCTCCAGAGGTGGGAGCTCAGCCACCATCTGGGTCACTCTGGGAGAACATGCTGCCCCCAGCCTCATTCCACATGCCATACTGAGCCCCAGGTCCCTGCAGGCCCCCACCCACACTGAGCTCTCTTCCACCTCTGTCTCCGGCAGGTTCACACGAGAGGCTGCGCGGGACTGTGAGGTACTGGGGCAGCGCATCCCCGCGGGCTCTGTGCTGGAGATGGCCGTAGGCGCCCTGCACCATGACCCCGAGCACTGGTCACATCCTGAGGTCTTTGACCCTGAAAGGTGAGCACTATCCATTGATCTCCCTCCCATGAGGCTGCTGGAGAGTTCCAGTGGAGGAGGTAACAGCCAGGAGGCACAGACATAGTCCTCCCCAAACACCAGTCCCAGAAATTCACAGATGTTTGTGAGAAATCATTTCCAAAGGACAAAACTGTACCATTTTAAAACATTACGTTTTAAAACTGACTCAGAGATTCAGCATCTCAGCAGCAGCGTGTGTAAGGAACCACATCTTCTGCCCGTTCCAGCTCAGACTCAGAATGAAGGGTCGGTTGTACTTCAAGTGCGCACTTAAAAGCAGAAAAAAAAAAAAACAAAAAACCCCATCATTTCCATACAGCACAGATGTGTCAGCAAAACCTCCCACACATTCATGAGATCTGCAGACCTGGATCCCTGGCTCTCTGCTGTCTAATTTCATTCTAGGCACCATGATGGAAAATGTCTGAGCAGACCTCCACCCCCCATTTCCTGTCAGACTCAGCCACTGTCCCTCTCTCCTTGTGATCTGTTGGGGAAAGCTGACCAGGAACCATGTGTCTTGACATTTAATGGCTCCCACAGAACCCAGCCCAGCTCTACAACCCGGTCACTAGGACACCACGGACCGTGGGACCTAGATAAATAATATCTCACTGCTCAGCAGTTCCTGAAAATACAGTGACGATCAAGAGCTAGAAACAGCAGCTGCAGGGCTCCCAGCATCATGAGAACATCCGGAGGTAATAAGATGTGAGCCTGCAATTGCAGAGTAGTGATTGTCACCAAGTGCCACTGTCACAGAACACACGTGGCAGGTGCTGTGATCTGGTAGGACATCCCACAACTCTAAGGCAGGGCCTCGAGCCATCAAGTTATTGTGACTCCTGCTTGTTAAGGTTTCCATGCTCAGAACAGAAAAGCCAGTGTGGTAGGGGAGGCAGCTGCCAGATGTGACGTCAGGAGACAGCAGGACGGGGCCCTGGAGGGTTGTGAGGGGTGGCCATGGGGAGGAGGACATGGGGGAGACCACCTTCCTCTGTGGCAATGGGGAAGGTGGAGCCATAGCCAGGTCACCCTCCCTCGTCACATGGAGCCTCTTCTCTTGACAGTGTCTGCTGTCCTTACCCAGCTCCAGGCATGGCTGTCTTCTAGCCTATGTCATGCTGGTCCTGTCACCAACTGTCACTATGATGCTGAGTTCATACGGAGACACCGGAGGGTGCTGTCCACATACTTTCACTGATTTTTTGGCAAGCGCTCTACCACTTGAGCTGTGCCCCTTGCAGCCGATTCCCTGAGTAGAGGGGTGTGGCAGAACAGAGGCAGAGAGAGGAACTGTGGGGAATATTCTGGAGGAAACAGGATGTGGTCAACGTGGGACCAGTTTACTCCAACTTGGAGGAAAGGGGTCTCCATGGAAGGGGTCGCTCAGCCAGAGCTGGGGCTTCGGATGGATAGGAGCTGGTGCTCCAGGCCAACCATGACCTTCCCACAACCTTCAGGTTCACAGCAGAGGCTGAGCAGCAGCGGAGACCCTTCACCTACCTGCCCTTTGGGGCTGGGCCCCGGAGCTGCCTCGGGGTGCGGCTGGGGCTGCTTGTGGTCAAGCTGACGCTGCTCCACATGCTGCACGAGTTCCGCTTCGAAGCCTGTCCTGAGACTCAGGTGAGGCCACTTCTTGGGGTCGGGGGCCAGCCAGCATCTGTGTGTGAGCTGCGGCCAGTTCCTCAGTTCCCTGGGCCTTGGTGTCTCTATCTTAAAAGGGGATGAGGAACACAGTCCCCTCTCCTCTTCCTGTCATGTGGGGTTAGTGAGTTCACACTGTGGTCAGACAAACGCCCAGCCCATAATAACCCCAGGATGCATCTCCAGTGTTACAACAGGGCTGATCTCCCCTCACTTCAGCAAACAGAAGCCCAGGGGCCTTCTTAGGAGCATCTGTAGCTTGTTCTACAGAAGCTGGGGACCCTCCCCTGCCACCTCCTGACCCCTAAGGTCCTATCTTTCGCAGGTGAAGCAGAGGGGTGCCAGCTTCTTGGACGGTGCCCCCAGCTCCCACAGCTTTGCCTGTCCCTTGTACAAATTGTCACTCTGTCCCCCACGGCCACAGCCCCATCTATCACTTGCCTTCATTCCTGAGGTCCCAAAGAGGTGCATAGACCCTGCCTCCACCTGGACACCCGGGCCCTTACACCACACACTCCAGGCCCAGGGTGGGGCAGGAAGGTTAAGTTGCCATCTTTCATGGTAGGTTCTATCATACCTGCTCTTCAGCTGAGGAGCCAAGGCCCAGAGAGGTTAAGTAATTTGTCTGAGCTCACAGAGTTGGACTGCAGGCGTGGCGAGGGCAGGACAATTGTGTTGTGTTCATTTTGGATCCTTCAGAGTCCACCTCAGTAAGGCCACGGCAAGTGCTCACCTGCTCACCAACAAATGTTTACTGAGCGAACGGACAGTCTCAGCGCTAAGAAGCTGCAGTTCAAACCTAGGTCCTGCTCACTCCATCCCTCCCTCGCCACCTAGAGCCTCCTCTCTACAGCATGGCTGTCCTCAGCCAGTGTCATGAACCCTCTGCATACTTGTAGACTTGAACAAGAGATGTGAGGGACAGATGGGGCCCATTGCCAATTCTAGACTCAGGGGCTGGCGGGTTGACAAAAGGGCTGCTGGTCCTGGAGGAAGAATGAGTCTGGCTTGAAAACGTCATCCACAGAGGTCAGGGTCATGGCTGGCACAGGGAGGGACCGCACCAAGACAGGCAGCAGAAAAGACAGAGCCTGACTGCTGCAGTCCAGCGGAAAGTCTTTCCTTTTCAGGCTTGTCAGACCGACCCAGATGTCCACAGCAATGGCTAAAAATGCTTCCATGAGCACTCCCCACCTCAAGAACCAGCCATCCTCTAAGAAGTCCCTTCATGTGGCTTCACTCACGTCTAGCCCCACCCAGGTCACTTCCTCTAGGAGGTCCTCCCTGGTTTCACCAGCCCCAACCCATCTCTCCTTTTTTTTTTTGAACACATTTCAAGCTTGCCTAGACCCAGGCTGTGCCTCTAACTACACATGGCTATGTTTTAATTGTGAGCACATCAACTCTAACCCTTAGCTGGGCATGGTAAGCCCACCTATGGTCCCAGCACTGGGGAGGCTGAGGTGGGAGGATTGAGAGTCCGAGGTCAGACTCGGTAGCACAGCAAGACCCTGGGTTAATGAAACAAAACAAAAAAAACCCCTCAGTCCCATATTCAGAGTGCTCACTGTCCAGGTCCAGACCATCTTGGTGTCTGGTCTGATATAACCCACAAAGGCTTCTGGTAAAGCCTGCTGAGGCCCCAGCTAGAAACCTGTTTTCCTTCTTCACTCTAAGGGCTCGTTGAATCATTTTGCACACACTCCTGGGAGCGGCTTCCTGAGTAACTCTGACTTTCCTTCCAAGCCCCCAGCCCTTCATGGCCTCTGCCTTTGGGAAGGTTTTGGATGTCAGGGAGGTGGCCAGCTCACAACCTGGACAAGCTGGGAACAGCCTGGGCGTCGAGGGATGGCAGGGATGGCTGGCGTGTGCAGAACTTGGCTCTCAGCCTTCCCATCCTGTGACCTTAGTCAAGTTCCTTGGCCTCCCTGAACCTCTGATTCTACTGTGTCACCTGGCCTTCTCAGGTGCATAAATGCAGAGCCACACAGGCTCTTCGCTGTGTGGTTATTCACCTGGGGAAACTGAGTGCTGCAGGGGCCCCATCAGTCCCCAAGGGGTAGCTTGGTTGGCTTCCGGGAAACCAGGGCCCCACTGAGAGGTGCCTTTGCCCCCTACCCATCGGCCCACAACCAGAGCTCCACACACCCCGCTTCGGGCCGATTCCGAGCACCTCTCCTGTAGACACCGTGAACTCTTGACAATTATTTTCATCTCCTCTGTTTCAGGTACCACTGCAGCTAGAATCCAGCTCTGCCCTAGCTCCAAAAAATGGTGTCTACCTTAAGATCGTGTCCCGCTGATGCAGAAGGCGCCTGGCTAAGCAGGCAGTGCCACATGGCTATGACATCTGCAAATGGGCTCCTGTAAGTTCAAGGAAAACACAGAGGAATGCAGGTGTTTAAAGAAACATCGCTGGGGTGACTGAGAGTACCCGAGTACCCCACTTACCGAACAGATCCCAAATGCTTAGTAAATGTTTGTCCAACTCACTTTTGACATTGCCAATGAGGTTGGAACCACTGAGCTCACTCTGAGTGAAGGTTTGTAGATAAATAAACAAAAACACAGTTTTGACAAAACCGTTGAGAATATGCTGGGGTTTATTTGACAGTACTGGGGCTTGAACTCAGGGCCTTGACTTTGCTAGCCAGGTGTACTACTACTTGAGCCACTCACTCCCTTAGCCCCTTTTTGCTTTAATTATTTTTTTGAAGAGTATCTCATGCTTTTTGCCCAGGACAGGCCTCCGACTCCAAACCTACTGAACTCCCACATATCTAAGATTATACATACACACTACTACACCCAGATTGTTTGTTGAGATGGGGTCTTGCTAACTTTTTGCCTGGGCTGGCCTGGAACAACAGTCCTTCCGATCTCCACCTCCTGAATAGCTGGGATTATAGATGTGTAGCACCACTCCCAGCCCTAAGAACATGGTGTTTTAAAGGAAATCCTGGCCTCCGGTTCTATAGTGCAGAGACATGCAGACATTCAGATGAGGCTGTCCTGATGACACCAGCTTGGGGCCTTTTTAGTTTCTCATGAAAGACTTGACCTCCAAAGTGACCCCAGAGATTAATTGTGCTTTGCTCCTCCTAGGAGGGGGTCATACCAACTTTAGAGTACATGTCCAAAGACAGAAAATGATACAGGCTAAAATATCCTTTTTCTTTTAAAGGGCATCATTTCTTAATCTTGATCAAGAAAATCATTAGAGGTGAATTTTAGTAAAAATAATGATTGTGTCACTAAAGTCACACTCAAGAAGGCACTTGCCAACCAGATCCCATGGTCGTCCCAGCAGTTGTATGATCTTGGCTGCTTGTCTTTTCGCTCCTGTGCCTCAGTTTCCTCACCTGTAAAGCAGGAAGATGTACTTGACATCTAAGCAGCCTCATGGGGCCAGATGCCATGAAGGACAACCTTAGTAGGAATCCTCAAGCCATGAAATGATACCCAGTTGCTGACAACCCATCTTTAGAAAATCTGGGTTTCAGGATCATTGGCAGAAAACATTCCCACACATGTCCTGCTGGGAATGCAGCCTCCAAACTTGGTGCTCTCCAGCCCCTTCAGCCCACACCACGTCACTGCTCCCCGCACAGCTCTCCCGCAGCCCCCTTCTCACTCAGGCCTCCCTGGAGGAGGGCAGCCTCTCTCCCAACACCGTCCCAGCCACTGCCTGGACTGCCCAAGCTCTCGGAGGTCCAGGCAAGCCCAGAGCCCCTCACATGGCCTCTCCACATCCTTGTTGCTACCACCTGATCTTCTCCATGACCTGAATTCTCTTGATGGCTGGCCCTGGGGCTTACCCACTGGGGACCTGTCTGCCTCCCTTATTGTCCCCTAATCCCTTACCACCCTACAGCCATGGCAGAACCTCTGTGTACAGATGGGCCCAACTGAGCACCTGGGTCACTGCTGGGAACAGAGCTCCCACCTGAGCCCACCAGGTTACCTCTGGCTCTACCCCTCAGTGCCTTTGGGCCTCCCTCACCTTCTGTGCACAGGTGGTCACATTTTCACACATAGCAAAACATGTGAGAACTGCTAGACTCCCAGCCCATCCACTGTTTGACCTCCCCATTCCTTATCCCTACCAACAACCCCGGGCAGGAAATGGCAGGAAGTGCCCTGGCTGAATCTTCCACAGAACCTGCTCTGTATCGCACTAGGTCCTCACCACCACTACTCAGTGCATTCACACACCCCAGCCCAGGCTCCTACACCTTTGCATCAGGCATCTCAGGAGCTGCAGCATCCTGGCTCCTATCAAGTGCCCAGCTCCTCCTGAATCTGCAGGAACAGCTGCCCCACCCCCCATGCAGCCCTCTCCAGCTGTGCCAGTCCAGGGAGTTTCTCTTCCTAACTTGTTTCCTCAAAAGTCACCAAATCCAGTGACCTCTGCAATCTTCATAGCACGGGCAGCTTTCTGAAGATTTTGGCCACCTCCCACTCCACGCTGTTCATTTGGTCACTCTTCCAGCCACACCCCCAGGGAGCAGTCCAGCTTTCCACTGCTCCCACAGCTAGAGGGCAAAGGAGCATGGGAGGTGCACATCTGCACATTTTCAGAGGAGTCCCTCATCTGATGGGCTTCTGGGGCCCTTCCCACCACTGTAGTAGAACCAATGATTTAATCAAAAAATCAAGTGGTTGAGCACCTGCCCAGCAAGTGCAAGGCCCTGAGTTCAAACTCTAGTACCACCAAAAAAAAAAAAAAGTCACTGAGGAACTGTCAAGCTGTACACAGACCACTTGGGGGCTGGGAAAATCACACCACATGAGTACATCATTGGCCCTGCTAATGGGTATAGATGTGCAGCTGCTTCTTCACTTTTCTGGCCATTTAACTTGGCTCTCTTCTGGCTTGATCAAGTATACTATCCCAAGCCAGACTAGTGGCTCATCTCTGTAATCCTAGCTACTTGGGAGGCTGAGATCAGGAGGATCCAGATTCAAGGCCAGTCCAAATAGTTCACAAAACCCATCTCCAAAATAACCAGAGCAAAACGGACTGGAAGTGTGGATCAAATGATAGAATGACTGCTTTGCAAATGTGAAGCCCTGAGTTCAAACCCCAGTCCCACCAAAAAAAAAAAAAAAAAATCACACTGTATGGTTTTGGCTCACTCTAAAGATGGGAAATGTAGTAAAACTGACTTGGATCTAAACATCACAGGACAAACCAAGGTCACACCTTTTTAGGAGGGGCCAGCCCCTCTGCCAACTTGTCCAGAATTACCAGCATCCAAGAGGCAGGCACCAAACTTACAGAGTATGGAACACACACAGCTCTCCCTGTCCCCGACACACACTGTTCAATGGTGAACCTGGCTTTGGCAGGGCTAAAATCTTCTGTCAGTTGTGAAAAGAAAAAAATACAACTCTGTAACTTCTCTAAACCTTACCAAAATGTATGATCGTGGGACCATATTGCTAGGGTCCTTTCTAGGGCCTTGGAAGGGAACCCAGCAAGTGAGAGGCCCAAACCTTCAGCTTCGCCATCAATCCACACAGCCCCAGTGAGGCCAGCAGCATTAGGTCTGTTATGGCCCTGCTGTGATCTGAATGTCTCTCTCCCTAACTCGTTATCCCTAAAGTGATGGTATTAGGATGTCAGGTCTTTAGGAAGTGATCCGGTCCCAAGGATAGGGCCCTCACAAGGGGGATGAGTGCCCTTATAATAAAAGTTGTGAGAGAGCCTTTCACCACGAAAGTCGCAGTGAGCAGACGGCTGTTTATCAGGAAAGTGCGCTCACCTGACAGGTCTGCAGATATCTTCATCTTAAGCTTCCTAGTCTCCAAACCCGTGAGCAATAAGCATCTCCCATTCCACAAGTCACCCTGTCTACAGTATGTTGTTGAAGTAGCCCAAAGGACTAAGACAATCCCCAACACACAGTAAAGTGCCTGGTACCCAGGAAGCACTCAAGAATGAGCTCCAGTCTTCATCTACTTCAGATATTCTTTTATTTCTGTACTCTCATCTGACACTTGCAGCACAGGTTTCCAATGTCCTGGGATCATAAGACCCCCATTCGGAGGGTGTCCAGTGTGCTTAAGGAATGTGGGTATGAGCACTCACAGGCAAAGCGTGGACTCCTGTGGGGCACTTCTCCATGTCTCCTGCCAGGTGGCTGTGCTTCCCTGCATGGCTGCAGTAGCTACTATGCCACTCTGACAAAAAGCAAAACAGTGGGCACAAGATCCCCAAATGGAATCACTACAGAGACAGACTTAATTAAAACAAATCCATAAAATGGCATCTAGAAACTCTGTGCCTGGTGCCAATAAGCAGCAAAGTCAGCAAAGAGTAAAAAATACAACGTTAACACATTATTAAAAAAACAAACCTGGGCTCACCTATAATCACTACTGGTGAGACCACGAGAAGCTCGAAAGTGACCTAAAAGCTAAAACCATTATCAGCAAGGGATTAAGAATGTAACTTCATTGAGAACCCCACATTAAACTACAGTTCATTAAAAGTTTTGTTAAAAATAATTTTTAAAAAGCTATCCCAAACAGCTCTCCCAAGGCAAACGAACTGGAAAGGCCTGAAGCATCCTAGCTATGCTCACTGCCGGCTGCCAAACAGGGAGCCCAGGGCAACCAGGATGGAGGGCCCAGCTGGGGGCTTGTAGGTGGTGGAGTACTGGATGAGGTACTCAGGGTAGACCTGGTGCTTCTCGAAGACCACGAAGATGGTTGGGTCGGACATGCTGTTCACGCAGCTATCGTAGAAGGCACTGCTCTGGCCTTCCTTGGCTGGAGGGCGGACGAAGGCGGCACTGCCCCTGATGAAGTCGCCCACTAGCACCCGGGCCAGGAACATGGAATGGGAGTGTGTGTCGGACTTGCTGTAGTGGTGGGAATAGGCAGCATCTCGGGCAAAGTAGCTCCCTGAAATGACACACACCAGCTCTGCTAGCTCTGGAAGGACAGGCCCGTGGCCCAGAAGGGGAAAGGTTGAACCCACTGGTGGATGGTGCCCCGGCAATGGGCAATGCCAGTGGCCTCTGCTCTTTTGCCACCATATCTCCCTCCCTCCACCTTCTCCCAGTTCTCGTTCTCCACTTTTTCCCTTATGAAGGGACATGCATCAAGGTCATCAACATTCCTCCATATGGCAGGGCACCAGAGGAGTCACCTAACTCAGAAAAAAACTCCTTTCCGTTCCAAATCCATCAAAAACCTAAAGGTCTCTGAGCATGCTGCTACTTCACCCCAAACTTCAATTTCCTCAGCCGTAAGATGGAGCTGCCCCCGCCCAACCTGAGGGTTGGTATGGAAAGTGAATGAGGCCCCCTTTGCGGAACTACCATATGGAACCCAGCTGCCCAACGTGCAGAACTATGAGCCACCTCTGCACTGGGGTTCACAAACCTACCACAAGGTTCTGGTCCATCCTGACCCCACTACCATCACAGAACCACACTGAAATTATATGATGGATATAGGAATAAGGCCCACAGATCATTAAATTTCCTAAATTTGGTAACCACACTATGGTTATAAAGAAAAGGCTTCTCAGCTGGCACTGGTGGCTCACATCTGTAATCCTTGCTACTCAGAAGGCTGACATCAGGAGGATCGAGGTTTATGGCCAGCCTAGGCAAAGAGTTCAGGAGATTCCCTCTTAACCAATGGCTGGGCGTGGTGGTGCGTGCCTGTCACCCCAGGTACTCAGGGAAGCACAAATAGGAGGATTGTGATCCAGGCCAACCTGGGCATAAAGGAAGACCCTATCTCAAAAATAACCAGAGCAAAAATGGCTGGTGGAGTGGCTCAAGTGACACAGCACCTGCTTAGCCAGCATGAGGTCTTGAGTTAGACCCCAGTACTAACAAGAAAAAAAAAAAAAAAAAAGGAAAAAGAGGAAGAAGAAGAAGAAAAGACTTCTTAGGGAGTGTTAAAAGGTGAAATGGTACCATATATGCCATCAGAAAATAATCAGTGGTAAAGCCAACATGGCAGTATGTTAAATGGGTAAACGTAGGCACAGTTCATGCAGTTGTTTTATGTGAATGTATGCACGTGCATACGTAATATGCATTTACATATACATATAACATATATATGTCATTCTTGTAGCTTTCTTGTGAGTTTGAAATTATTCCCAAATACAATTTAAAAATGACTAGAAAATAAAGGAGAATGAAGGGGTGAATTTAACTAAGATATATTGCAAGTACTTTTGTAAATGTCACAATGTGCCCCCCGTACAGTAATAACATGATAATAAAAAAATAACTAAGAGACAGAAAAACAGAAAACGCATACAACAGCTGGAATGACATCTGCATAAGCTTCCGGAAGGTTTTAAGTTTCTATTCAAAGGATGTCATGGAGGCACAGTCCGAGGACCTCGTCAGGGCTAATGAGGCGTCTCCTCTCCTCTTTGACTCTGTCACTACCTCCAGGTGTCCACTCCACAGAGAGGCAACATGCCAGAGAAGAAGGGACCTTGCACCTTGAACTGAGCTCCTGGCTACACATGGAGGAATGACAGCAGAGTACGTTCCCCACAGGGATTGGGGCAGCCTTCCTAGAGGGCCACGGGGCTACTTCTTACTGGCTGAACCACCCACCAGGGTAGCCTGGCCCGAATGAGCTGTCAGGCTGTTTTCAAGTGGTTTCCCAGTCACTGATAGAGACCACCCTTCCCTTACCCTTGCCATAGGAGGTACCATGAAGACCACAGACCCTCCAGTCAAAGTTTTGCTGGCAGATGGCATCCACGAAACTGGTGCTGGTGCCATGGAACAGCTGCCTCTCATCCACTTCCTTCCCATCATTTTGCTTCTGCATCTGCCCTTTTTGCCTAGAATAGCAAAGGACACGTTGAAGGCAGAGTGCTGGTCACCAAATACAGCCTCCCAGACCCACAAAATGCATTAAAAAAACAAAACAAAACAAAACAAAAACAGAGAGAGAGAAGCATCGTGTGATCATGTGAACACGATATAAGGGCTGTGATCCTGGAGGCTCTAGCCACAGGTCAGGGAATGGAAAGAAGGCAGAGCAGGGCCTGAGCGAAATGCAAAAGAAAAATAAAAATGTTCCCTTCCTCCGCTCCAGGCTCCAGAAGCAGAAAAGTCCTTGGAAAGTAGGCACGAGTCCTTACTCTACCCTGCTCCTGAGTAGAGCTGAACCTGGGAAGCTGAGAAGTAGAGGAAAGCCACAAGGTCCATGGGGGCCCAGCTTCTCCCCTCTACTGTGACCAACTGTATCACTGTGCAGATGGTACTGACCCAGACTCATGTGGAGACTCATGTGATAGGTTAGCTGTGGATTTCCACCCTCACATGGAGAAGTGCTGGGGGGCCAAGAACTTTTATGTGTGGTCCTTACACATAAAAATGAGGCCCTGCTCTCTTACAGCTTTAAGTTCTGGGGCTGATGGTGCAGGTGGGCTGTACTGCCCAATCCATTGACCTTCAAAGAGACAGAAAGGACCAGGGTGGGGATGGCTTTGCTACTAGTCAGGACAACAACAGGACCTAAGCTAAGGAAGTTTCAGTCCCCTCAACTCCAAGGGGCTTTGCCATCACTCGGCTCTAATGACGAGAGGAAGGAGGGGAGCAGACACAGTTCGTGGCATATATCAGCACTGGGTGAGCAGTGCTTCTGTCTCTAACTGTCATGGAGGGCCAGGGCATGTTGGTAAGCAGCTAATAGTAAGAGACAAAGCCACCAGTCCACTAAGAGGCAGCCCCAACGCACCACTGGTAGACTTCCCACAAGGCCAAGTTCTGGACTCGCTCGATCTTCTGAACAAAGTAAAAAGGCAGTGTACGTTTGAAAAGGTTCCAGACTTTTTGATACTCTTCTGAGGAAGAACTGAGGGTGATCCTCTGCAAGGGGAAAATGTTTTATTGGTTACTGTCAAGGTGCAGACATAGAAGAATCCCTTCCCAAGGCTGCTGAGAACCACTTCAACTGTAGAAGCAAGAAAGCTGGAGAATGATGACCACTTCCCCTTCCCTAAGATGTTTTCTCCAGCATGGGATATGTGCAAATTTGTCATCTCCCTTTTGTTCTCTGGGAAACTAGCTCAGAGGACAGATAGATGATGCTAAGTCAGCCATCCTGGGTGTCCCAAGGATGTCCTACATCAGCCAAAGACAAAGGGTAGACAGCAAGATGTCTGGAAAGGTGTGTGCACTTCTCCAGCCCTTCACACATGCTACCTGCACTGCGGTATCTGCCGGTGCTGTGTACAAGCTCTCTGAGAAAAGTCCTCCCAGGCCAGGACTCATCCTGTTGGAGAAGCCTATCTGCAAAGTACTTGGTGGGCAGCTAGCTGTCGGACGTCCACTGAGAAGCCCATGCAGACAGAGCAATGCAGAACATTAGTCAGGATAGTCTGAGTGCTCCACTCTGCTCAGCACAGCTCCCATGAGAGAGCAGGCCACAAACTGAACCGTCCATTCTCCTGTCTGCTAGCGTCCAGTATCTTCCCTCTGCATGGCCCTCATCACGTGTAACTCCTCCCTCCTTCCTTTTTCTTTTCTTGCTTGGTAAAACTGGTACCTACTGGCTAAGTTCAGTTCATAAGCTCCTTATTTCTGCTCTTCTTAGCAATCTCACAGCTTATCCTCCTCCCACAACACTGCAACATCTCTCCTCAAAGCCACAGCCATCTCCTGGGTAGTCATTGGGCCTTAAAATTCCCAAGACCTCTGAAAACAAAAAACCCACAAACATTTCTGTCTTCCTGTCCACGCAAGCCACATTCTCACAGAGCAATCTCGTACACACTCACCCATCTCTACAGAACCCCTCCTGTCCAGCTCCAGGCAGCGTGAGTCCCATACCTTAAAGCCCGGGTCTGGCAGGGCTGAGGGGTCCCAATAGTCTGGGATGTTCTTTGGGCCTTGAAACTTGACATTGCTACAAAAAGTAAACAAAACCACTTAGACATTTAATCTTTAGAAATAAGCAAATCTCTCACAGGTGGTCTCTACTCTCTGGTATCACCAGTGCTAACACAGCCTATTCTAAAAGCAGGCAAGGACCCACATAAACACAACAGCCACAATGAATCCAAGAGCACTTTTACCTCTGCCTATGTGACCAGACCCAAACTCTCAGTCCTTAGAGTTGCACTTCTTGCCTATGTCCCACTACCACACAGAAGGGACAGAGTACAGGAGTAAAGCAGCACACGTGGGCCACAGTTTTTATTCACAATCATGAAATTCAAGGCTCTCCAAAGACCTTTTCTTAAAAGCCTAAATGATATATAACTGATATACAAAAACATTTTTTAAAAAAAAACATTAAATTTACAACAAAACCCACCTGGCAATAGATATCTGATTGAGCTTGTAGTCTGTATTCATCCTTCTTAAAGTGACAATGCATATTCTTTATTGCAGAAATACTAATATGCTAAATTACAGGGTGTCACATAATGCACTCACTATGCTACCATTCTAAAAATATAAATGAATACAATCAGTTCTAAAAGACATACGGCCCCAAAGATTTAAGGGACAGCACTGTGAGACTACAACTCCAAATCATTACCCTAAAGTTGTGAATGCACTGTGCTTCCTATGCAGATGTAGCTCCTGTTTCTGCTGGCATGAACCTCAAGGAAGTCCCAAAAATAACATTCCTAAGAAAATGGTACATTAAAATAAACTGGGCAAGGTCCCACTAGCAAAGAATCAGCCAGAAACAGACTCAAGAAGACTTATGATAATGAAATTATCAGACAGGTTATAAATCAAGTTATTCTTCCTATGTTTAAAGAAATAAGAGGCAAACTATAAAAACATATGTAAGGAAACCATAAAAAGATCAGGAAGATCTTGGACCAAACAGAACTTTTAGAAATGTAAAGTAGAATTCTTGATAGTAAAAGTTCAACAGACAGGCTAGCTAGCAGATTAGACCATGGGAAGAGAACTGATCTGAGGGATATGGAAGTGAAAATATTCAGAAGGTGGTCCAGCATAAGACAGAAGATGTGGGGAGGAGCTGAGACATGGAGGGCAGAATGAGAAGGCCCCGTGGAATCTACTCAGAACCTATGGGAGGCTCCAGACAGGGAGGAGAGTGTAGAACTCGTGAGACACACCAACTACAGGTTTAAGAAGCCCAAAGAACCTCAGGCAGAGTAAATACACACACCTAGACATAACATAGTGAGGTATAACTCTAGACAAACAGAATTATACAGAGGCAAAAAGAGCAATTACAGTGAAAAACTGCAAGTTAGACCAATAGTCAGTTTCTCACAAGCAATAGCAGAAACCAGAAGACAGTGGAGTGGCATCTTCAGTGTTCCAGAAGAAAGTACAACTAAACTTCTGTGTCCAGTGAAAATACCTTCCAAGGTTAAGGACAAAATACAGACATTCAGAACAACTAAAAGCACAGTTTTCTAACAGACTTTCATCTACGGAAATTCAAAAGGACAAAGAAAGTGGCAAAGATGTGAATAATTTTAATGAAGCACTCATTCACAGTATACCGTAACAGTGCCTCTTGAAGCTGAAGTGTATAATGTCCACAGAAAGGCAAATGGGAAAAGTATGCACACAGGCCTTGTATTAGTTGACAGGAGGGCAAAGACACTGGTTTATCTGTATCTAAGTGAAGCACTTACATAGTTTCTAGCATAGCCTTTTTAAAAATCAGTAACACAGTGTACAACTTGCAAACCAGTAGAGGGGAAAAAAATGAAATGATAAAAAAAAATTCAAAAGAAGGAAAGGAAAAAAAAAGAAAAAGGATCAATCATCTGAAAAAACAGGTTTTTATGGAAGACAGAAAGTGAAGAAGCAAACCAGGTATCTGTTGTGTTTAAATGTTGGTTCAATTTTTATATTAAATAACATTCCTCAGAGCTGGGGATGTAGCTCAATGATAGAGCACTTGCCTAGCACGTACAAGTCCCTGGGTTCAATCCCAGCATGGCAAGAAAAAAAATGACACTCCTGTGTTATAACTTCTGAATATGGAGCTCATACTCTGTGGCCCCATTAACCATGTAAATAGAGAAGTGTTTGTGAAAGTGACCAATCACAAAGTCCCAGCTGGCCACGGGGGCCTAAGCAGCCTCTCGCTGAAATTAGTGACAACCAGCTAGCATCACATGGGTTGGAAGAATGGGGCACCTCACCTGCATGAACAGTATACAGCGTGGAAGGGAGGGATTCTTTCTTCCCTCAGTTTTGCAGGGCCAGGGGTCACCCAGGGCCTTGCACACCCTAAGCATACATTCTACCACTGAGCTACATCTCCGGTCCAATCACTTACACTTCTGACATTTGGTGTCTGTGTGGTACCCTGGAAATTAAATTAGAATGAAGACACAGAGATCCAGTCTCAGAAAGGAGACAGAAAGACTGTTCCAAATTTTGCCTGGGGTAGGCTCTAAATAGGGAAAAAAAAATGAGTTCTAGTTTTAGGAGGGTCATAATCAACTAAAACTCTAAATCCAGAAGCAATAAAGAGACTGAGGCTGAGTAGGGTGGCTCATGCTTATAATACCAGCTCCTGAAGAGGTGGAGATTGGGAAGATCACAGTTTGAGGCCAGCATAGTCAAAAAGTTAGCAACTCCATCTCAACAAACAAGCCAGTGCACTTCTGTAATCCCAGCTAAGCAGATAGCCCAGGGAAAAAGCACAAGACCCTATCTGAAAAATAACTAAAGCAAAAACCTGGCAGAGTGACTCAGGTAGCACAGTCCAGATTTCAAACCCAGTACTGGAGAGAGAGAATGACAGAGAGAGAAAGAGAGAGAGGGAGGGAAGGAGGAAGTAACAGTGAGGGAGGGAGGAAGAGGGAGGAGGGAGAGAGAGACAGATTGATACATTTGACCAAAAAAGTAAATAAAATGTAAGTATCTTTGTGGGGTAAAATACTTTATAAGCAAAGTCTAAAGGTAAATAATAAGCCAAGAGAAAATATTTGAAATTTGCAAGCCCAGTAAAGGGCTAATTTCCCTAACAGATAAAAGATTCTTGATATTTGCTGGGCGCCGGTGGCTCATGCCTGTAATCCTAGCTACTTAGGAGGCAGAGATCAGGAGGATTGTAGGTGGAGACCAGCCCAGGCAAATAGTTCAAGAGACCCTATCTCAAAAAAACTCCAACACAAAAAAGGACTGGCAGAGTGGCTCAAGTGATAGAATGCTTGCCTTGTACTTACGAGGCCCTGAATTAAAATCCAGTACCGCCAAAAAGAAAAAAAAAAAAAAAAGATCCTTGATATTTAAGAAAAATACCAAAAAGTTGGTAAGAAAAATTAGGAATGGAGATTGGGAGGATCATGGTTCGCGTTCAGCCTAGGAAAAAAGTTAGTGAGACCCCATCTCAATAAGCTGGGCATAGTGGCAGACACCTGTCATCCCAACTACTCAGGAGGCAGAAATAGAAGGTCAGAGGACCAGGCTGGCCTGGGCATAAACACAAGACTATTCAAAAAATAACTAAAGCAAAAAGGGCTGGAATGTGGCTCAAGTGGTAGAGCACCTGACAGGCAAGCATGAGGCCCCGAGTTCAAACCCCAGTACCACCAAAAAAAAAAAAAAGAAGAAGAAGAAGAAACAGCCCAGCTCACCAAGGGAACAATAAAAGGTGTGAGTGAGTGACCCTCACATGTCAGGAAAACTAATTCAGCCTCACTCATAAAAGAAAGCAACGTAAAGAACACTGATACAGCTTGTGCACCTATGAGAGTGACAGAAGCTCAAGGGCCTGACGACTCACTGTCAAGGACAAGGGAATCCTCGGACTTCAAGGACCTCATGAATCCTGGCAGAAGGCATGGTGGTCCACGTACATGAAGAGGAACTTCATTTACCTTGTAGGACTCTGATCTAACTATCCACCTCAGCACATTTGAAATCTGAAACAGCACAACACCAGATGCTTCCTTCTGACATTATACTTTGTAATAACAAAAGACTGAAAACAAGGCAAACATCCATGAAAAGCAAGGAAACTATGTTGCATACACAGAACACAGAACCCCAAGGAAGAGGCAGATTTAGGAAGACCAATGAATTGAAACAGAGTGATTACTAAAATCTATTTTTAAGTTTAAAAATAAAAGGTATAGAAAGGGGTGTGTATATAGATGTGACTACATAGATATGTAGACATACATGTATATTGTCTTTTGGACAAGAAAAGTAGGGAAGTAGCAAATACTCTTATGTACATAGATGCATATGCATTTGATTATTTTTACCAAGAGAAATATGAGGAACAAAAAGCCAGAAGCTAATGAAAATGGTTACCACAGTGGAAGCAGGGCAGAGACAACAGAGACTACTGAGTATACTTTATTATATAGTTTTTACTTTGGTGTAAATATTTTACATGTAGTCAAAAATAAATTTTAATAGAAAAAAGGAAGAAAGAAGGCACATTCCCAGAAGTTACTTTGTTGGACCTGAGTCACAAGACATTTTTCCTCTTACCTGTAGCAAATTCTTTTTCAAACGAATTTTGTTTCACAAACACACCCAATGAAGTACACCTCTTAAGAGAACAAAGAGGCTGGAAAAGTGGCACAAGTGAGGCTCTAAATTCAAACCCAGTGCGCTGATTTAAAAATACATTTAAAAAAAGAACAAAGATACTGTCTCCCGTGAAACAAGTGAGCCCAATTTCTTAGGTCAATGAAGTTGTCACAGCTAACAGCAGTGCTGTGACAAGCCCAGACTGTAAGGCACACTTTGATGGCTCTTCCCATCCAGGCCGCCCTCCCTCAGGCTGTGACCATGTGGGATGGAGAATGCTGAGCTCTCTCCACCCAACTCCAGTACCATCAGACCTGCCCAAGCCTAAACAACACTCCTGCTTCCAAGGGGGTCTGATCCAAACAGAGCTCAAGAAATACTCCCAGCAGCTACAGAAGGTCTCTCCTCCCCTATGAGCCCCAAGGTGAGCGGCTCAACAAGAGGCTCCTGGCAGCCACTGTGTGACATAAGGAAACCCACCCTAAGGATGGGACGACCCATTTGTGACTGCAATACCAATTTTTGGTATTTTGGTATTCCGTGATATTCAAAAAAATACGTGGATTTTTATTAGTATAAGTCTACCAATTACTTCAACATTTTAAGAAATTTAGGTCTATAACTCACTCTCACATTGCAAGGACAAACTGGTGGGCTGAATTCTAAGTCTAGCCAGGCTTGCACATCCCAACAAACAGTCTTGTGAGTGTGTGTGATGAAGCTCCCACCCACAAGGATAAATCTCATTCTGGCTCAACGACTTCCTCAACTCAAAGGTTTGAATGACAGTAGTGTGCGAGAACATTTAGTTACACAAGCCAGTGCCCTCCCGTGCTGTCTGCAGAGCACACCTCAACGGATACCACACATCGAACAAGTGCCCCAAGTGCAACCTACCAGGTTTGCTTCAGATGCACATCCTGGGGAGACACGTATTTGGGTCTGCGGCAAACCTTTCTGATGGTGCCATAGGCCAGGTTTTTCTGAACAAAGGCTGAAAGCAACATAGCCAATGGAAAAAAGCATGTACGCACACACAAATACATGGACAGTAATGTTTTATAAACACTAATTAAATGGGTTGGAAAGCTAATCCAACACGCAAAGCCCAGAATCAGTCTTAAAAATGAGGCAGTTTTACACATTTCAAATATTCATAAAGAAAACAGGTATCCTTAGGAGGCAGACTTTAATGAATAGAGGAATGATTAATAATTGACATATCAATTATACATGAGTGCTTTTAAATTGTTCCTTCCAATCTTGTTTAAACCATTATTTTGCTTAGCAATTTTTCCCAGCTTGGATATAAAAAAGCTTCAGCCCAGCCTGAGACCAAATTATCACATCTCGAGGTAGTGAGATTTAGAGTTAATACAATAATTTTACTCTTCTGACTTTTTTACTTTGATTAGACTGACTCTATAGCAGTATTTACCAACCTTTTAAAATCCTTATCATCCCTAATAAGCAAAATTCTTGCTGCCACACTCTCAAAAATCTCATAGTCATCCTGAGGGTGGCAGGCAGGGAATACCACCTCATGAGTTGAAAATGACAAATTCCTAGAAGTTATGTCTCCCACCAGGAAAATCCTGTCAAGTCCTATTCTGCACACTTAAAAGAGTACAAAACTAATTTTGCTTTCACTTTAAGAATATTTTAATATTAAAAATTACAGATGTCTGGAATTTACCTTACTGCATTCGAGCATAAAGTGCATAAAAAACCTGAAGGTGTGGCCCTCACACTGCAGCCACCGCATTCCCATCCACAGTCCACAATCCATATGCAGCTTCCATGGACCCTTCTGTCACCCAATACTCAACAGCATACTTAAGTCAGTTTTTATTGACCTATTACCAATATATCATAAATCATAAATGAGCTTTCACTGGTGAAATCAAAAGTTATTCAGGATATATGGACTGGCTAACTATGTGCTAGAAACCTTCTCTACGCTTCCACAGACAAAGAGAGGCTTTTTCACTAATTTACCCTTGCTATTTCCCAATTTACACCGGGCCATGTCCCTAAATGAACCTGACTTGCAGATTCTGACCATCTGCAGTCAGTGAACAGGATATCAGAACTCTCCCTCTGCAAGCTTGGCTTTCTCCTTGAGTAAATCTTTTGTAACAAGAGTCCCTGAAAGGACAGAGCTGAATCTCCCTCAACCTACAGAATAAGTCCTAAAAAACAGTTAGTAAGTATATATGGAAGAGTTTGGTCTGAGACTTGTTTTCATTATACATACTGGTCAGCAACCTCAAATTTCTTTTGTGGATACTATCATCTGTCCAAAAGGAAAAATAAATAAATAAAAGAACTGTATTATAAAAATCAGAAGCCAAAACAACTGACCAAGAGCAAGCAATTTCAGAATATGTCACCAAAAGTGACTTTAGAATAATTCACCAAAAACACTTTGCTGCCCTCCAACAGGATGAAGTCCACAAAAATAGCAAAGGCAGTGTATCCTGAGAGGAAGACTCTCTGACATCCTTTTAACATGCTGAACACTATGGAGGACTCAAAGTCTAAAATGTGAAACAGGCAATGCTGAACTGGACAGAGTTGGACCAATATGTCTACATGAAAATGATCTAAGAGAAACTAGAGAGGGACTGGGGCATAGGTTAATGGTAGTGCACTTGGAGGGAGGGAGGAAGAGGGAGAGAAAGGGAGGGGGAGGAATGAAGGGAGGGAAGGAGGGAATCACCTGAGTCCCAGTTTCAGGATCCACTTTTAACTAGAGCATATCCTCTGACATGTTTAGCCTGTCTGGTGTCCCACCAAGGTTGAAGGTGCCCACAGAAAAGAAAGCAGCAACACTGCCATGCTAGGGAGTGTCAAAGTGAATCCTGCACAAGAGAGCCACCTGGGGCCTTGTTGGGAACTGAGGTTAACAGAAGGCCCTGCTCACAGGCCTCAGGACAGCCACATCGCACTCAGGGACCCTGCCTGTCCCTCTTGGGCTTCAGCTGCTCATAGCACTCTCCCCACCTCCTCCATCCTGCAGGTCAGTGTCATGTATCAATAGGTCTCTCTGCCTTTCTGGATGAACATACACTTTCCTTTCCTGCATCTTCCCAGGCCCCCAGGTTAACGTGGAAAGGCTGCACCCACAGGCTAGGCTCTGCTCCACAGGTGGGGGTACCTTTGAAGTCTAACTCGTAGCTGTGCTTTCCGGCCTGGAACTTCAAGGTGGCTGCCTTGGCATCAGAGCCTGGGGCGCAGAATGCCAAGTAGGCCTTCTCCACGTCACTGCTGCTGATAGTGGTCACAGGGTGCACTGTGCCCTGTAAGAAGAAAACCAGAAACTTCATGGAGGCAAGACTCCACAGTGAAGAGCAAAATTCTGGTGGTGTCCACAACACATTTCAGACATGCCTACAGTAGACAGTCCTGTTATGGATTGGCACCAGGGAGGAAGTACGTAGGGAGGGAGGCATAGAGGGGAAGCAACACGACTCTCCTGAAGCTACTGTCTTCTTACTGAAGGCAGTAAGTAGGGTCATGCTGAGCAAGGTAACAGGGATGCAAGTAATGGAAAAGAGGGTGCTCAGGTTCCTCAGAATGGATGACAGAGCCATTCTGAGATGGTGAACATCAACAGTGAATCCTCCCACACTGCTTGACTGGTCAGCCAAGCAACACTGCCTCTTCTCTGGTTATTCTTATTTCTACCATCCGTTAATCAGACTTCAGTCCTCCTCTATGCAGTTTTCTTTTTCTGGTCCCTGGAAGAGTTCTTCTATTTTTTCAGTCAGCCATTCCAATCTCTCATCTTCTCTAGAATTCCCTCCCGGATAGCTTATATTCAAGGGTTTGAGTTGTGGCTCCTTGCTATGGTTTGGAGGTAGTTAGGATTCATGAGCTCAAGGCTTAGTTCACAATGTGGCAATGTTAAGAGGAGTGGAATCTTTACCAGGTGGGACTTATGGCAGGTGGTTAGGTCACTGGGGCAATCTTTACCTTCAGAAAAGATTCATGCTGCTCTTTGTGGAATGGGTTAATTCTCTTGAGAGTGGTTTATTGTAAAGCAAGGTAACCCTGCCCGCTTGGCCCCTTCTGCACATGGCTAGTTTCCTTTTTATTTGGCTATCATTTTGTAACCTAGCCCTTGCCAGAGACCAAACAGATAGGACCACCTGATCTTGCACTTTCAGCCTCCTGTGAGCTAAACAGACTTTTTTTTTGACAGTACTGGAGTTTGAACTCAGAACCTTGCATTGCACTTACTAGGCAAGTGCTCTACTATTTGAGTCATACCACCAGCACTCCTGTAAGCTAAATAAACTTTTCTTTATAAAGCACACAATTCAGTTATATTGTTACTACAACAGGAGTGGGTTAATACACCTCCAAATTAGTTGACCCTCTATGTTGCCAAGTTAATTTAAGCTTTCTGAATCTCAGTTACCTCAAGTGCATAGCAGGAATAATTACATATGTAAGCATACTCATCCCATTACACAACAGAACTATCCCAGGCTCACAGGGTTGCAGGAATAATTAAAATAAGGCACTCAGAGTACCTAGCATAGTGCCTGGGGAAAGCATTCAGTAAACCTGTAATCGTCATCAGTATTCAGTCTTATATTTGACAATACACTGAAAACTAAGTTACTGATTCTGTAACTCCATCTGTCCCTGGAAACTCTCCCTCTTGGTACCATACTATTCCTCTTAGGTAAAAAGTTCTAGATTTCAATGAGTCATACTCAAGGGCACCCACAGGTCTGCGTGGCATGTTAGGAAAGCTCAAGGGACTTACTGAGAATGAGCAAGGGGTGGGGAGAACCCCAAACTGGAGAGGTGGAGGAAACAGACATGTGGGCCCAGACTTGAGCCTGAGTGAGAATGAGTTGGCCCTAGAAGGCTACTGGGGGACGGTGTAATAGGTATTTGATTTTTGAAGTAACCTCCTATTACCTGATCTTAGACTGGTGCCTAAGTTCTTCTGAACTCTGCCCTTCTTCAAAACTAAAACACTAGATTAGAATGGAGGAAGATGAAGAGGTAGCATAAAAATCCCTTCCAGACAGCAAGCAGGAAAGAAGAAAAGACAGGCCCTTTTGGCCTGAGGACATGAAGGAGACAAGAGGAACATAAAGAGGCAAACAGTCAGACATGCATTCTGCTCCTGCCCCAAACCTCAAGGTCAAAATTCCTTAAGACTAGTTATCACAGGGAGACAACAAGAAATGAAACAAGATTTGCACCTGAGTGTAGCTAAGAACAAGACACCAAAACTTCCTCCAACAACCAGCTAGCCTCCTGCAACCAGGGAGTGCAAGGACATATCAGGCTCTGCAGTTCAGTTTTCATTGTGGAGGGGGGTCCCTATACTTCAGCAAGTGGCCAAAAACTCCCTTTAATCTCAGCCATCCTTGAACACCTCAAATAACTGACAGAAGGAGTTATTTGGTCTGGGCTCTGTCAATTTCTGATATAAATCCATTTCTTATACTTTTCCATTTTCTAAAGTTACAGAAATAGGCAAGAAAGGCAGGCTTAAAAACCTTACACTTGATACTGCAGCCACACAAACACACCTAGGCACTAGCTCTGCAGTTCTCTATTCACAAGTGAAAAGCATCTTTCTATTTAATAAAACCAATAATCAAAGTTGATCTCACTGCAATTTTTTATCATTCAATTCTCACGATCCAAAGATTATCTAATCTTTCAAAGATGGAAGCTTGTACATATGAACCCCAAGTTATCTAGTTGTGTCATAAGGCCCCCCAAAGCCAGGGAGTCATCCAGAGATCAGGGATCCTTGTCTCTCCCCAGGGTGCTCCCTAACAACCCCTATGCTCAAGTCTGGAATGGCTCCTCCATCCTGGATAAAACACTCACCTCTTCCCATTACACTTACTTGTTTTCCATATTCCTGCCAAGAACCAAACTCATCAATCCAATACCAAACCCAGTCAGTGGTGAGAATGAAGTGTGGGGGTTTGGTGACTGAGGAAGCCGTGGAAAGGCGGCGAGCCTGGGTAGCACCAAATCTCATGGAGTCAAAGTTCAGATAATCAAATTGAAAGCCACTGCCTGGCTCTGCACACAAAATCCTGCAAAAGAAAATGAGAGGCAGATGAAAAATTCTACCAACCAAACATACACAGGTCCCTCAGCTTCCACTCATGAGACCACCTAGCTAGTAGGAGAATATTTTTGAGAAATGTTTCTAGAGGTGAGAAAAACTGCTTTTTAAGATCAGTTCTCCTGGGTGAAAAACAATAAAATCAGGGTAATACAGAAGACCAGTTATCATGAAAATTCTTCTCAAAATGCTAGTTAAAGGAAATTTTTTTTTTCAAAATGCATTGAAAGAGAGATGAACAGAGATGTGACTCAGTGGCAGAGTGCTTGCCTACCATGCATAAGGCCCTGGATGCAATCCCCAGCAACACACACACACACACACGCACA